AAAAAACTAAAAAGATGGGACGATTCCCCCGAGACATTCTATGAAGCTGAGGCGTCGAATCGGCTTACGTTACGGTTAGAGATTTCGGCTCTTCCACGCTATCCCGAGTGAACATAAAACTTAGTCTTAACCAAAAGGCCAGGGAGTGAGGGGGTAGCCGCCCACTAGAGCATACCTTAAGCTACCCTCTTAGACCATCGTACTATGAAGACACTTATAAATATCTGATACCTAATTGGGGTAGTCTATTCGGTGAAGTTCTATGCTAATATATGACGTCACCAAAATCCTTAGGGAGCAGGGAGCCAATCAGAGCTCAGCTCAGGATAAAAGCAAAAGATACAGGGTTTGAATAATCATTCTTCAGTGGATTTATTATTTGATGGGGGGTGGGGTTGGGTGCTGAGTGCTTGTTTACGCCCGAATACTACAGTACTCGTTGTATAATGTGACGGCTTTCACCAAGCTGTTCAATTGTCGTTATTGTTTTCCCAATTCATCACAGGAAAATGTGTACAGTTCACACATCAGATGGACATAACTAGTATTCAAGTAAACAGCACAACAAAAATCTCTAGCAGATGCTAGCTGTTGATAAAGATTTGCCGGGATTCGCAATGCTAATGGCACACAATTGAAGACCTTTGAAACTCAAACATTACACTGGAACGTTCCACATTTTCGTTCTTGATGATATAAAAGTTAACAAATGGAATAATAGTGATAATCAAATAATTATTTGATCTAAATATTAGTGAATGTTAACAATTAAAGAGGATGAATGACAATCCGTATAGAATTGATGAAGAAATGAAGAAAAACGTAGCAATCTTTGGGTTTTATTTCAAAACTATAATCAGGCGAATAAGAGTAATATAACATGGATGTAAAAATACAGTTTAAATAATATAAACTTTTTATCGAACAAAACGTTCGAAAATCTACAGCAAAGCTGAATCAAAGCTTTAAGGACTTCATGTCCTGGATAACAATCCTTTTCCGAATCTTTCAGACGGATATGTTTATTAGGGCAGGGAAACAGGGCGCCCCGCGTCAGGCCCCCACGGGAGGAATCATCAACCATCACAATAGGTTCCTTGGCCCCTGGGAATCGCCGCCTGGTGTGTATTTATAGACAACGTAATGCTTGATCACAACTTGATGTTTTTAGTTCTTTGTAGGGTAAACAGCTAATTAAAGATAGTGTATTCCAAGAGCGAATTGCATTGTGGGTCTTTCTATCAGTTCATATGGAGTTTCCATGGTTTCAGAGTGCTCTATGCCAGCTCCGTGTAGTGGTCACGAGCCATTTTGTAGCGCAGCAAACTCGAAGTTAGCTAAATCTCTTAATGGCCTGAGTCCAGCATGCAGTCATCTACTGCCTTAGTATTTTTACGGTGTTATAGTAAGTCTGATTTCACCTGCTTTTTTTCGGGGTTAGATCAAAACTGACTGATTTATGATTCATTTCCTGAAAGAAACATCTTGACTTAAAACGTTACTTCACAAATTTCCGTTAAGTTTTATTGAAATTTTATTTTTGTCAAATTATGATAAAATTGCAATAAATAATGAAAAATTAACATCAGCCAATCAAATTACTGCTTGTATGTCATTTAAAAAACACTCCTATTGTTCTATGTATCCAATCACAAGAGGTGTAATAAATCACGCCGTCTCTCTCCTCATTCCCCCCAAGTTTGTTGGTTAGCTGCAGTGGAGGAAAGATGGCTGAATTCCACTATTTCGTTGCTTTAAACGGCTGATTTTCGCCTATATTTTGCTTCAAAAAGTCACCTAGAATGGCTGGGACTGCTGCTCCTTCAGGGTCCAACGGCTCTGGCTCGTCATATTCAAACCACACACTCGAAAAAGTGGCAAAAACCAAGGCTACTTTGGAAACATACTACAGTAGTCTGGTGACACAGCACTACGAGCGTAGAAACAGGTAAGGAAACGTAGTCTTTTAATCCATTTCATTACAGAATATCAAATTGTTTTAAAAGCTCAAGGGTTAAGAGAGTTTTTCTTCGAGCTGTTTTAGCTGTCATGTTTAAGTTTTGTCTGTTTTATGTGTCAAAGTTTGGCTTGTACGATAGAGGTTGAGATCAACCATCTAACCCTTGGTCTAAGCGTGGAGTTCTAGTTTGCTTAAACTTAATCCTTTTTCTTCTTTTTAATGTAGATTACGAATGCTTGAGCAGACTATGGAACAACAGGGTCTAACCAAGCAAGCAGTAAGTACAAATAGAATTTGACTGATCTGCAGACAATAATATAATCATCGATCATATATCGCTCTTGACTGCAATAAATAATTGTATATTTAATTATTGTTTATCATTTATACGAACTTTCCGTCAGTTAGGAAAAGTTTTTAGCTCGTTTGTAGGCGTGTTAATGTGTCTTGTTATCAAACAAAATTAAGGACTGTCTGTGGTCAGAAACTCTGACACATCCGGCGATCAAATTTCTGTTTGTAATATATTTGAAACTTTTAGTTTTGCATGGTAATTTGTACATTTCTCTCGAATTTCGACGCGCATTTTCAGATTTAGCTCTCAGATTTAGTTTACTTTTTTGTAAGGTATTCTATGACTATATTTTTCGTCTGAATATTATATGTAAAATTGTGAAATTTCTATAATATTCAAACTTTGCGTGACTCCGGCAATCTTGTTTCCAAGAACTACATTGAAACAAAAACATCACATCAATAAAATACARCAATTATTCTCCCTATTCAAAATCTCCACAGCATATAACACTCGAGGTCTTCCTCAAGTTGAAATGGTGGGCTATGAAAGTGTTTTGAGTCATATTTTAATACTTTGGAGGTGCAATTATCTAAACCTTCGCAATTTTTTTATGGTGTTTTATTATTTCGCAAAATTCTTGAGGGATTGTACAGTTTCCTTGGCATCCAACATATGATATTCTGCAGTGAACACAATTACATTGTTTAACAACCACTATTTACATTGTTTGTGAGTCAAAAGTTGTTTCAAAATCCTCATACTTTTTTAACATACCAGCATAATTTGAATTTGAAAATTAATCCTTTTACTAAAACTTTTAATGAAAATGTTATGCATTCCTCCCWAGAGATTCAGAGGTTTTGTGTTATAAATACAAAATTACCAATCATTCCTTATTTTTGTAGAAAATGTCACAAAAATCTCAAAAATGCAAACATGTTTGTATCTTAATGAGATATCACTTAATTGTGAAAATGTCTGAATAATATTTGGTAATTTTATAATAAATAGGAGACAACATATAGCCAGTGCAGCCAGATATTGCTGTTACGATGGTAAATACACTTTATACGAAGTCAAGCTTTCGCTGTTCTACAGCATCATCAGGACTCCTCTATAACAGGGAAAGCTCGAGTTCGTATAAAGTGTATTTACCATCTAACAGCAGTATCTGGCCGCATTTGCTATATAATATTATTACTCTCCTACTAACATGCAGCTGAAGGATAACTTCTAAACATTTATGATAAATGTATAAAGCAGTTTGGTAGGAATGTTAGAAACTCTCATGATTGTTAAATTCTACTCAGTCTAGGTTGTAGATTGTATTTTCTGAAGAACGAGGCATGTTGCTTGAAGGATGTATATTGCTATCCATGAGACAAATTRTTATCCATCACATAAAATGCACACAAACTTTATGGAYTGGWTAGRTTTGTACAACTTTCATGTAATAGGCCCAGGGTACCACGTTGMGTTCATACAGAAAACACTCTTGGTGCACTCTCTTCTAGAATAGGATGACAAGGCCAGAAGGTCTTCAAGTAAATTTTGAGATTTAATTTTTACCCTTGCAGAAAGAGGAAAGACGGAACCTTCATGCACAAAAAGAAACAGAATTTTTACGACTAAAAAGATCAAGAATTGGGAAGGAAGATTTTGATTCACTAAAGATTATTGGTAGAGGAGCYTTTGGAGAAGTTCGACTTGTCCAGAAACAGGACACCGGACATGTCTATGCAATGAAAATCTTACGAAAAGCTGACATGCTTGAGAAAGAGCAGGTMGCGCATGCTAGGGCAGAGAGAGACATTCTTGCTGAGGCAGAAAACCAGTGGGTTGTCAAAATGTATTATTCTTTCCAAGACAGTCAGTTACTTTACCTGGTAATGGAGTTCCTTCCTGGAGGTATGGTGACAATAAGTTTAACTTGCCAGGTTCTCTGTTAGCAAAGTGTTTCAATATTTAATATGATTGTGTGTTTATTTTAGGTGATTTAATGACACTCCTCATGAAGAGAGACACGTTCACTGAGGATGAAACCAGGTTTTATATTTCTGAGACACTACAAGCAATTGATTCCATTCATCAACTTGGCTTTATACATAGGTATGCATCAAGGGGGGTGCTGAATAATTTATTGGGGGACTTACACCCTCCTACCACTTCCTCCTAAGCAGTCTATTAATTTAATGAAATTTTCCAGTTTTCCAATGTTCTTTATAAAAAGCATTGATAAAGTAAAACCACTGAAAAATCCCTGTATGACTATTTTGAACCTTGTTTTTGCCTATTGAAGAGGGCTGCCCCTGGACATAGGAATCCTAATTCCAATGCAGCCTGTATGATGATATTTAATTAATTAATTAATTAATTAATATTTAATGTTTTCAGGGATATCAAGCCTGATAATTTACTGCTGGATAGTAGAGTAAGTTATGTCCTCT